GGATGAAGATACCCGCCATGCGATAGTCAAAATGCGACGGTGATGAAGTCAATGACGCTATTGACGCGAAACTAACAGAGAACAAGATTTGGCGACAGATGATAAAATCGACGCAGCGCGTGACTCGGCCTCAACAATAACGGAACGCAAAACGAACACACAACAATTCGATTCCTAATATCAAAGGTCAACATGAAACTGCGATGAAAATGTATGCGAGTAGTAAGCAATCACCTTAATCGTAAAAGATAAATATTTAGAAACAGACGAAACTAGCAGTCATACCGTTGAAAATATTTTTGAAAAATTGATAATCATACAAGTACAGTATTGACTGAACAACGGGGAAAAAAGCGGACCGTATCACATTATAGAACCCATTAACTCTACAACAACGTGAAAATCCCAAGGACAAAAATCACGTTGTGCATATTTAAAAACTATTGTTGACAATTAAACTCAATCCGTAACTGAACACAGGAAAAACGAATCTTCAAACTCCCTCCATACAAATCAAACTGAATCACAAAACTACTGAAATTCAAAAACGAGATTGCTCGCAATATTAAAAATCATAACGGTGAACATGGCTAAACCATATTGATCGCTCAACATTGGGACGATAAATAAACAAATAAAGCATAAAAGGTTTATCATAACTAAACCCAATCGAAAAGAAACGGACCTGCGAATATTTCTATTCAGTCTTTCTGAGACACTTAGGATAACTTAATTACATCGGTATAACCTCAAAAGATAAGTAAAATACGACCAAACTTGATCGATCCACATAAACTATAGAAAAACGTAAAAGAATGGCAATACCAATCAATCGCTTTCAATAATTTTCGAAAGTTGATGGTCATTAAACTGCATCGCAGACTATCAAATGAAACGATGAATACAAAAAAGACTCGCGGCGTCGCGCAAATCATGCAAACGTACGACATATGGTAAAGAAATGATTTCTTCTGACAATCTCTGATACGTATATTTTTCGCAACTAAATTGGGTAATTCACCACAATAAAAAAAAACATTAAGCGACTCGATTGATCCATTGCAACAACCAATGCATGCCACACAAACTGTTCTCAATATGTCCACGAAGTGAATGCTCACTAATTGAAAGCACTGACTGAGAAAATAAAATAAAAGTCAAACATGACTCACCTGATCGATCTAGATAACGTATCACCAGATTGAAAACAAATGCAAACCCAATTAAGTCATTGCAATCGTTTTGGATAGTTGTCGACGAAGGGAGGACACCACAGACTAAAGAAAAAACGATCAATACGAGAGAAAATTCTCACACATGCATAATTCATGCAAAAGCAAAAAAAAATACATGTTACAAAATGAATCCTTCTCAATGTCTCTAAAATATTCTCAATAACTAAATCGGATACTCACTCGTAGAATCAGCAAAATTGGCATGGAATAACTCGATTGCTCCATCTGAATAACCAATGCACGAAACATAAACTGTTCTCAATGTTTCCATCAAGCTAATATTCACTGAAAGAAAGAAACGGGAAAACATGATCATAAAAAAAAGTATGACTTACGCGATCAATCCAGACAACTTATAGAAAAATGTAAAAGAATTACAATAACAATTAATTCATCAGAATCGTCTAGGGCAATTGTTGACCAATAAAGTGCACCACATACTAAAGAAAGAAACGATGAATACGAAAATAAGATTCGCAGCGTTGCATGATTCATGCAAAAATGAAAAGACAATGTCAAGAGTGGGATTCTTCGCCATCGTCTGAAATTTTGCTACTAATTAAATCGGATACTTATTCGTAGAATCAAAAAAATATATATCGAAGAGCTCGATCGCTGGATCGGAATAAGTAATTGGGAACATATAAACGGTGCTGAGTATGCGTATGAATCTGATGTTCACTAAATGAAAAAGATGACTGAGTATTCATATTAAAACTAAAATACGACTCACCTGATCGATCTACCAGACTTGTAGAAAAATGTAAAACAGTTACAAAAACGATAAATCATTGGAATCGTCTTGGATATGTAGTTGGTCAATAAACTGCATTGCACACTAAACAAAGAAACGATGAATAGAAAAAAGATTGACGACATCACATAATTCAAGCAACCGCGAAACATAGTGCAAACAAACGAATTTTTCTCGAAATCTATGGAATGTTTTCAGTAACTAAATTGGATACTCACCCATACAATTAATAAAACATGGTTTGACTCGATGGACAGGTCACAGTAATTGTTTGAATAGATACGAGCTTCTCACGATATTTCGTTATACCTAATCTTTACTAAATGAAAGAAATGACTCATCATTAATAATAAAAGAAAAATATGACTAACCGTATCGATCTATATCACTTATAGCAAAATGTAAAACAATTGCAAGTGCCATAACTTCATGAGAATTATTTAGGAATACTGTTGATAATTAAACTTCATCACATATGGAAGAATGAAAGGAAGAAAACGAAACAAAACGATCTACCATGTCACATCATTCATGCAATACTAAAACGCAGCGTAAAGAAACAAATTGCGCTAAGCAACTATGAAATGTTTTTATAAACTAAATTGGATGCTGCAACACGAAATCGAAAAAAACATATACAATACTTGAATTGATGGATCGCAACGATTAATTAAAAAGTTCAGAATATTTCCTTGACGCTAATGCTCACTAAATGAAACAAATGACTGAGCATTGATAATAAAAGTAAAACATGGCTAATCTAATCCATCTAGATGACTTATAGGAAAACATCGCACAATTACCAAAGTAATAAATACACCAGAATCGTTTTCGATAGCTGTTGAGCAAGCCACGGCACCACAGAGTAGAGAAAAAAGGATCGATATGAAAAAACGATTCGCGGCATTGATTAATTCATGTACAAAACAAACCGAGTGGAAAGCAACCAATTGTTGGGAATCTCTATGAAATAGTTTTACTCATTAAATCGAATACTCTCTCATAGAATCAAAAACCTCCCTATTAAACAATTCCATTGAAAGATCGCGATAACAAATTCAGGACACAAACTATTCTCGATATTGCCTTGAAGTTAATGTTTACGAAAAGAAGGAAATGACAAAGCATTGAAAATCAAAGTTAAACATTACTCACCTAATCGGTCTAGATCGAGTGTAGAAAAATGTAAAATAATCACAATAAAAATTAATTCATCAGAATTGTTTTGGACAGTTGTTGATCAAGCGACTGCAGCACAAACTAAAGAAAAAAAACAACCAATATGAAAACAAAATTCACGACTATGCACAATTCATGAAAAAAAGAAAAATACACTCTAAAAGAATGAATCGTTCTCAATCTCTCTGAAATATTTTCAATAACGAAATCCGATGCTCACCCGTAGAATCGACAAAATAGATATCGAACAACTCGATTGTTGGATCGCAATAACCAATGCACGAGTCATAAACTGTTCTCGATATTTCCATGAAGCTAATACAATGTTCACTAAAACCAAGAAACGACTAAGCAATGAAAATAAAAGTAAAATATGACTCACCTAATCGATCTGCGTAACGTGTAGAAAAATGTAAAACAAATATAAAAGCAAGAAATTCATCGTAATCGTTTTGGAAACTGTTCACGGCTAAACTGAATCACGGATTTCAGAACGACATGAGGAATAGGATAAAAAGATTCCCGCCGTTGCACAATTCGTATAAACGTAACACACTTAGTGTAAAGAAACGATTACGTCTCAAAATTTCTGACATATTATTAGCAAATAAATCGAGAAGTTCACTTACAATGGAAAAAAAATATACGACTCGACCAATCCATTGTAATAACTAACCTACGACACATAAACTATTCTCAATATTCGCATAAAGCTAATGCCCACTAAATGAAACCAATGGCTGAGAAAATAAAGTAAAAGTCAAAAAAAGCTCACCTGATCGATATAGATAATGCATCGCCAAATTGAAAACAATTACAAAAGCAATTAATTCATCGGAATCATTTTGGATAGTTGTCGATTAAGGGACTGCACCATATACTAAAGAAAAAAACGATCGATATGAGAAAAACGTTCGCTTCGTTGCATGATTCATGCAAAGGGAAGATACATTTTAAAGAAATAAATCGCTTATAATCATTCTGAAATGTTTTTATAAACCAATTGAAACTAGCACATTCGAAGCATGCTCGTATACGTTCTGCTCGTCTCGTTCCAAAAACATGTTTTGAACGTGTTCTTTTTCTGTTCACCTCGATTTGGGACGATATAAAAAAAATGAAGCGCTTCACATACTTCATGTTACCATTTTATTTAGTGAAGCTCTAACACATGTCAATAGTCAGTATTACACTTACCATTGTCTGATGTACTTAAGCCTGTCGGGTGAATTTTTAATTCACACAGGGATGGCGACCTTGGGCTGCCGGTAGCCAATTTGTCGGACGGTCGTGCTAGCAACTCGTCAGTCAGACTTTAAACCCAACTTGCTAACGAAAAGAAGAAAACCAAGTGCGCGAACGCACACCACAGTGTCTTCTTTGGAGGCTGGAATGTTAGAACCTGTGTCAAACAATCAAAGAAGGAACTTATTATGAAACAACTACAAAAATATCGTATTCAAATTGCTGCATTGAGTGAAACATGCATGTACGATTCTGGACTTAAAATAATAAATGACTTCACATGGATTTTCTCCGGATTACCATCAGCAAATAAAACTAGAAATGCTCATGGAGTAGCTATCTGTTTGGACAAAACGGCTGCTAAGGTATGGAAAGAGTCTGGTTCGGAGTGGGAAGCAGTAAGTGAGAGGATTGTAAAAATTAAACTGAAATGTTTATTTGTAAATTTGACTATTATTTCTATTTATTCTCCTGTAAATCCAACTAACAACCAAATGAATGATGATAGCCAAAAATTTTATAATGATTTACAAGATGTTATTAATCGAATTCCAACTGAAGATATGTATATTATCATGGGTGATTTTAACGCAAGAGTGGGATGGAATAATCAACAACAGCAGAATTTGTCGAATAGTATCGGTCCTTATACAGTTGATATTACAAATGAAAATGGAGAAAAGCTGATTGATCTAAGTACAATTAATAATCTTATAATTACGAACACATTCTTTAAACACAAATTAGTACATCAGACGTCCTGGATGCATCCGGGAAATAAGCAGTGGCATATGATTGACTATATATTAGTAAATAAGAAATTTAGATCGAGTATCGAAGACTGCCGTATGTATAGAAAAGCTGCTGGTGCAATTGGAACAGATCATCATTTAATGCGAATCAAAATTAAACTACACTTTAGAAGTAGAAGGAAATTGTTTCAGAAGAAAGTAGTTTATGATCCAATAAAAATGAAAAATGATAATGCATTAAAACAATTTCAAAAAGATCTCATTCCAACACTTTCCGATGCAACAGATAAAACAATTAGTATTGATGAAAAATATGACCGATTTGTTGAACA